GAATATGATGATGGTTAATGGAACTTAATGCTTCTTGGAGAATGGTTGGTTCGAATTATGGGGAAGTCTAAAAGATGTTGGAGTTAGGAGACAAACGGGAAAAAGAAACACCAAAAAAAAAGAAAATGAAAGCTTTTGATGAGGTTTTAAGAAGGGTTTGGGTTGAAAGAAATGGTTTGGGATCAGAGAGGTTTGAGATTTTCTTTGGGAGTGATGATTTGAGTTTGGTTAGTGTACATAGTATTAAACTAGTTGGTTTTCTTATATATATATAGATAGATTTTTGTGGTTATATATTTTATTTTGATCATTTTTTTATTTTTATTTTTTTTGAATAAAAAGTTTTATGTTGGTATAATTGTGACTACATACTGTTTTCATTTCATTTGGTTTGGTTTGATTTGTTTAACTGACTGACTCTTTTTTTTTCAAAAGACTTGTATATTATCTAGTAATCAGTAACTTCATTCTTTTAAGAAATAATTATCTATTTAATTTAAGAAATCAGTGCGTGTTTTTTTGCTTTGTTTGAGATTGTGAGGAGGTCGTGTTTGTTTTTTTATGCATTCAGATTCAATATAAGAGTCAAGGTTGATGGTTTGGGTGGTAGTGGCATAAAGGGTTTGCAATCCACTCTTAACTCACAATATCTTTTGTGGGAGTCTTCCTTATATTTAAGGATTAGGTATTGTTTGTACTAATCTCAGTATTAGCATATTTTATCTATCATATCTGTAGATCAATCATTTTATTTCTTATTGCACGTCTCTGCTTGTTCAAAGTTACTGTTGTAAATTTTGGCGTTTTACAAGTTGTGGTTTGTCCTAGACAAACGTAAAGAATTCAGGAGAGAACTCTTTATGTTTCTTGGGGGGGCCCTCTACCCTTGTAGGGGGCTGAGGGAGGTAGGACAACCCTGAGAGTAGATGGGAGGGTGCTTCCCCTTGACTCAGGACACAGTCCTGAGCCTGCGACTTCCCATCTACTGTGGTCTGTGTCAAGTTAAACCCCCCAAGTGAGTACTCTAATACTCGCTGTCGAAGTATCTCTGACGTATGCTCCATTGAGTCTTTGGTTAATCTTTGCAGGTAGGACGTTAATTATTGTATTGTATGTTTTCCAACAGTTTAAGTGTATTCAGTAATTCGGCGTCACTGTACTCTCGAATGTACAGTTTGTAAGCCTTCGATTTCCACCTCCCGGCTTTGACGATCTCTTCCAGAGGGTGGTCAAGATTCCATCGAAGGGATGCTCCACCAACGCGAAACGAGTGGCCTGTGAGTTGAGTATGGTTGTACTTCTTCCACACGTCTGTAAAGATTTTCTGACATCTAGTTTTTGTCAAGGTAATCCGCTTCTCGCCTACATAGTGGGTAAGAGAATAGAGGCTCGTCGTCTGTTGTCTTCATGCGTTCTATCAACCGCTTAACAGCACCGACCGGGTCTAGTAGCGAACTTTGGTGCTGGCAATGGATCTCTTGTATCTCGCCAACTGCAGCTGTTTTGGCTGCGCGGATCTTGATCTTCAAGTATTTTTGGTTTGGTTCCCAAATCAAATCCTTAACTTTCACTTGATCCATATTACATGATGGCTTAACAAGTTCCCCGAGTCGTGCCATCCCCCAAAAGGCGACCAAAGCGACGGTGTAAGCTACCTGGCTTTCGAGGTCGTCCTTCGCTAGGTTTTCGAGCAAACCGAAGAGATGAGTTATTAACACCAGGTTCTTTTTCTGTTTCGGCTCTTCTATAAGTTCTAGCTTTTTGGCGGCTTTCAAGATTGCTTCGATCGTGGGGGTAATCTCGTGGGGGTAATTGTATCCATGGAATAGATGCCAGGCTTTCACTCCGGACAGGTACGTTCGTATCGTGTTTGACTTAATTGGCGGGGAGAGGGGGTCAATAGTTGCTAATTCTAGTTTTGGTCCAGCCCAGACGACGAAGCGAGACAGCACGTTTGGATCGACTGGTAAGAGGTATCTCCTTGGTATGTTGTTTTCGTTTGCGAAAGCTACTAACTTGGTCACCCCAGCGTTATAATGCTTGAGTGTGGCCGTCGACCAACTACCACCCTTTATCATATACGACTGTACGGGGTTGCTCGTCGAGCGATCAATACCATCGGCTCCTTTAAGGAATTCCATGGTTAACGAAATAGGAGATTTCTTTGGGATTAAACGATAAACTTTGTCTTTAATTTTCCGGAACTTAACAAACGAGGTTAGAGTGCAAGGGGTCAGGGGGGAAAGGTTCATCTGCGGTGCGGGAACTCGATGAAGAAACTTTTTCTAGATATTGGTGTTTCAGGTTTTGGGGGTGCGTAATTACAAAACTTGTTTCACCACAAACATCAAGTCTCTAGGTACGTCAACCAGCACACGATCATTAATGCTTCTACTATCTTTCCCTCTAGACAACAGGTCTGCCAGGTTGTCACCTGTGGCGACTCTTTCCGCCACGATATCACAGTGTAAGTCCATAAGTAATCTTTGGATGGCCTTCCATTCTTTGTTTACGGCACGGTCCCCTGACCTCCTCTTCTCCACAGCGGATTCCAAGGTAGTATTATCGGTGAGTACTTTGAAGGTTTTCCCCCCAACTTCACGCAAACTACTAATCATAATCATACCTAATCTTATCGCTACGGTTTCCGCCCAGGCGATATTGTGTTTCCCTCGAGGTGTTTCAATTTCATTCCATCCTTTAACTAAGGTAAATTCAGCCCACTTTTCACCAATAAGGACACCTATTCCGGTCATTGAAGCATCTCCAACCCACTCCATGTCTATTGGGTCTTCATCTGGAATAATTCTCCGCGATTTGAAGGACTTCATTACGGACTGCCATTCTAAAAGGTCTTCTCGAACGTCTATTGGAATCTTTCTTCTTGCTGAAGGAACCTTCCACTCCGCTTCCCAACGGTGGAGACTAGGCATGTAGCATTTTAGGTGGGGGACTATGTAGGTTGTGTGCACCAACCTTCCAATAAATTTTTCCGCTCTCTTCAGGTTAAAGGATTCGTTCTGTAATAGAAATTCATCGATTTCATTCTTGCGTTGCTCGAACTTTTCTTCAGACAGCCGTACCGTTCTTTCGACGACATTCCACACAAAACCGATGTAACGTTGTTTGTCGGCGAATTCATGAACTTTTTCGTCGTTAGACGCAACACCTAATCTTGTACTTAAACTGACAATGTCTTTGATAGACGTCAAATTACTTGCTTCTTTGATCAGTAGATTATTGTCCACCCAGCGGAAGGCAGCGTCTAGATTAAACACCTTCACCATAATCTGCCTCCATAGATCAGCAGGTCGTCCAAAGACCCCACATCCTGCAACACCTCCGAACTGGATCCGTGTGTTGACCCACATCTGATTGAGTAAGTCCATAATCATCAGAAATCTCCATTGTCCTATAAGTATTGCGATTTGACAATACACTTTTGCCCAATCATAGATTGCGGCTTGAAGTTTTGACTTGTTATTCTTAAAGAACCGGATCAAGACTTTGAAATCGTCCCAGCTGGTGGCGAAATCTTTCTTATCAACAAAGCTGTTGACTGAAGGCGTGTCTTTGACGTCATGAGGGAAGGATAGGTCATTGATGACTCTGAATGAGCCATCTCCGTTGATCACACTGCCCATTGGGCTTGACCAAAAGAATCCGATTTTCGAGAAGACTTCTTCGTGAGTGAATGGTCCAAAGATACAGCCTTCCCTCTTCTCCTTTTGCAGAGTATTTCTAATCTTCTCTGCTGCTAACCTCGCCAAATCATGGTTTTTTGGCGTGTACCAGCGTCTTTTCTCTAAGGTATGGTCCGGGATGCCCTGGTGGAAACCATTTTGCATACCTTCTAAAACTTTGTCGACATTGCCACCTATTCCGCACTCTTTAACCAGTTTCCTCCACATCGGTACAGTCAACTCTTGATGTAAGCAAGCCCTATGTACGCATATCGCTTTTTAAGCAAGGGTTGGCGCGCGATTTTTTTTGGTATACGTGAGGGCCCCGCTAAAATCAGAATGCTTGATGCATAATGATTAAAGCATAGAATGGCGGGAAGTATGCTCTTATTGCAAGAATATTTTGGCATATGTATGCATATTTCCCACACTAAAAGGGGAATATGCTCTTATAGAGATTAATTTATACTACATACTGGTTAGCTTCCGGTGGATGTTTCTCAGGAAGTCAAGTGTCAAAAAAGTCTATTCTTCCCTAAAGTCACAGGGTCCAAAACCTCTGCATGTACGCTTTGATAGCAATGAGCATTCCCTCCCTCTCCCTTGAAATACAAACTCACCTAAACCACGATGTCCTCACCAAAAGTTACTGCTCTTATGAAAGAAGTTTTGTTATTGTCTCAAAACTGCCCTTCAATCAGGAAAGCCACCACTGATGACAGGCTGTACAACATGTTCAGCAATCCTCCTGTTGATCCCAGCATAGACGAGGACACCATTACAATTACTATCAACACCAACCTAGACAATGTCTATGGGGTCGATTGTGGATCAACCTACTTACTCAGCGGAATACATGGGATTCAGCGTGTCTTGGATTATATAGACACCGCACGAAAGCATCCCAACTGGACATCAAATGTTGATTCTCTTGTTCTTCTCAAGCTTGAAGGTATGAAGGACAAGTTGAAAGGTATGACTGGCTGTTGTATCTTCATGGGACTCGTGACGGGTTGTTTATCCTGATTTTGAATATAAATATCTCTCTTCATCACTTAGCGGCTGGGGCTGCACTTCCTGCTGCTAATCGAGCTTTGGGACCTGGGAACACGGGACATAAGCCATCAAAAAAGGGTAAGCCTTAAATCCACTGGTCATGATACAATTTTACTAATGCTTCCTTGATCCAAAGTTGCCAATAAAAACGCTTCCAATGTGGCCACAGTGTTAGATTATCACGCCGCGGGAAAGAAACATCCATTTTTGGATGACGATAAGGATGCTGGTCCAACGGTCAAAAAGAACAAAATTGCCGAGAAAGACACAACCAACTCGTCAAAAGCTGTGATTGCCCGCCGTTCCGTCAAAGATATCGGTGAAAAAATCGAGATCCTCGCCTGGCATTTCAAGAATGCCAAGACTCAAGCTCAGACTGCCGCTCACTTTAACATAACTCAATCATCATTAAGCCGTTGGATCAAGGATTCAAAATCCTTAGCTGAAGTCGTTGAAGCAAATGGTGCATCGGTCAAAAGACAGCGCCCAGCAAAATTCCCTGAACTTGAACAAGCACTCTTCCATTGGATTATCGAAGCAAATGCACACGACATGATTGTCACCGGTGATATCATACAAGCAAAGGCCAAGGAGTTTGGCAAGCTAATGAATGTGGAGATGAACTATTCGGACGGATGGCTTTCCAAATTCAAGGAGAGACACAACATCCGAAGCCGAGTAAGACATGGCGAAGCCGCATCGGTTGATATTGAGAGTGTAGCTAAGGCTCGTGAAGCTCTGCATGAACTCACAAGCCAGTACGAGCTTCATGACATCTACAATGCTGATGAAACTGGCCTTGTATATAAGTAAGCCATCCTATCATCTCTCTATGCCGTTACCCACATTGATCATTAAGACTCTTTGTTGATCTATCAACAGGATGCCACCAAACAAAACCTTGGCAACATTAGAAGCAGCCGGTGTGAAAGGCGACAAGATCCGGATCACATACCATCTTGGTTGTAACGCCTCTGGAACCAACAAGCTTCCACCCCTGGTCATTGGGTTTTCAGCCAAACCACGTCCTTTTGGCCGCCACACCGCTGCTTACTTCGGCTTTGATTACAAGTATAACTCAAAGGCCTGGATGACCGCAGTAATTTTTACTGAATGGCTTACAGCTCTCAATTCCCGAATGAGAGGTGATAACCGCAAGATACTCTTGCTACTAGACAACTTCTCTGGCCATACAAGTGCAGTCAAGTCCATCGTTCTCTCAAATATCTCAGTACACTTCTTTCCTCCAAATATGACCAGCGTCCTTCAACCATGTGATGCTGGTATCATTTGGGCATTCAAAGCGCACTATCGTCACGACTTTATTGCCCGAGCCATCCGTCGATATGAAGATCATCCTGATTGGTCATCAAAGCAAATCTACGATATTAATATCCTTGAAGCCATGCAGATGGCCGACCGTGCCTGGAAACGAGTGACACCTGATACCATCAAGAACTGCTGGATTCATACCGGGATCCTTTCCATTACGCGTGACTGAAATCAACCTAGTCAACTATTAGCACCTGATATAGATTTAGAATCAGCAGTACAAGCTGTTGAAAAACAACTAGAAGGCCTTGAAAGGTGCTCAGGCCTAGAAGAAAGCCAATCAGCGTTTCGTATCAGTATTCAACAACTACTTAATCCCGAGATTGAGTCTTGTACTCCTGAATCTGAGACCCCCATGCCAACTTTGGAGGAGATAATACACTCAACTACGGATGCAGAGTCCGTCAAGGATCCTGAGGAGATTGAGATTGAACAAATCGCTTGGTCCATGAAACGAGTAAGAGCAGCCGCCGAGGAAATCTCTTATGCACTTGCCTCTCGACCAAATAAGAACTTAGACAAAAACGAGCTAGATTGGAGCCCTCATGTCCAGGCAATGGATAAACTATTGGTTGACCTTCAACATCATCAGTTATTGTCCTCAAGACAAACAAGCCTTGGTACATATTTTCAATCGAGTGTAAGTCCTACATACTCAACATGAACATCTCTATCTTTTGTACCAGCTAACTTATAATCTGGCTACAATCGCACCTTCGACCGGTCACAGGCATCTTAACTACACAATTCACTCCTCGATTTTCTTGATACTGTACATACCACTTTTTGTTATCCTTGACTACAACCTGCTACAAATCTCCCTCTATGCAATGAAAGATTCACGCATGCCACTATTCTCACCTTTGGCGCATAACTTGCGTCAAAACCCGTATTTATGCTTACATCACGATTTATGCTTACTTCGCGATTATTCATCGCTCGGTTTAAGCACAGCAGATTTGTTGACGGTCGATATGCTTACATTGAGAGTTGACTGTATGTTTAATTCACACACCACAAAATCTTTTGGCCATCAACTGTCATAGTCACAGCCTGAATTCACATAAGGAATCAATTTTGGTACTTTTGTGCCAATAGAGTTGGGCACTTCTCGTGAGTGGTCTTCGTCAACTCAACGTCTATTCGAAGACCTCTCGTCATCACTGGCAAACACAAACGTCACGTAAGGCAAAAAACGAGGTAAGTCAGGCAGCTCTTTGATGGGAACTTTGTCATTTAGACATAGGTTTCTAAAGCAATCGCAGAAAAGAACATTGGGGGCAACAAGGTCTGTTTGCGGACAACATCAAGGCGCCAGGACGTTGGGTTCAACACCGAAGGTACAAATCAAGAAGGTACGACTGAGGGTAAATACACGAAGAGGAAAGCGTCGCAAATACACGGGTACGTCTTTTCGTGCTATCCAGCTGAGTATAAAGTGGAAATAGGTTTTGAAACTCTGAAAGAGCATGATGGGTTACTAATGGCTCACTTTGCCTTTCCATTTCCTCCATTTCTAGGATTATTAAATTTGCGTTCATCGCCTCTGCGGTCATCACGCCTGTCGTTTTTGCGCCACGCGCCACTACCTTCACCTCGGCGAGAATCGAGTCTATCCGCGTTACAGCGGCTAGGAGGGCTGTGGTCGCGACTATTGCTCGAATAGTCTTACCAGTGGCCGCTACGACCTCGGCCTCGACCATTACGGTTGTGTCCGCTTCCACCACGGTCCTCCCAGGTATTGTAGCCATTACTACCTGGTCCATCGTAGGCAGGTTGGCCGTTAGCATAGGCCCAAGATTGTGCGTTGGGTTTACTGCCGGTATTCTCATTTCTAGAATGGTTGACGAGGCTGTTGGTGTTATAGGTATAAGTAGACGAGTGATTCTTGTAACTCTCTCCGGAAATGGGGTTGACGTGTTGTTTACATTGTCCGTTGGCGTAGGGGTTTACGTCGGAGAACTCTCGTCGAAAGTCTTGTAATCTCTCAGTGTCCAGGAGCGCATCTCGCTCCTTGGTCTCATCTCGTATCACAGGGTTGGCGAGAGTCCCGTCTGCATTCCTGAAGGTTAAGACAGATACACGGATCGCTAGGTCGTATTGGAAAGCCATAGGCCAGGATAGACGTTGTTGTTGAATAGCGAAGACGTTCTCCTTGTGAATCATAAACTTATTGGCGAGGTCGCCATGATTGTAGTGGCGTAAGTAAGCCACATATAGGTCGAATGACATGACCCATTCGCCAAAGCTCATCCTCCATTCATCCGGGACAGTTAGACCATTATAATTATCTTCAAGCTTTTCTTTCACAGTTTTAGAGCGGGCGGCGGATTGCTTCAAGAGGTCTTGTTGGAGCCATAGAGGGTTAAAGATCGATAAGGGTACGTATCCTTCAAGGGATTTCATTTTATCGTCAAAGTACTTTGAGAGCTTAGTTAGGCCAACTGTCTCGATCCCTTTCTCCCCAACGACGGGTTTCTTCTTCTCCTTAGAGGTAGCTGCTTTGTCAAGTTCGTCGTCTGAGTCCTTAGTAAGGTCAAATTGCTTAGGTGGCTTGGGTCTAGGACCGGCATTGGTCCGCGTCGCCGGGGCTGCCGGTTGTACTGCTGGGACAGTCCCGATAGGAGTGGTAGGGTTCCTCGCGTTTTGAGCGTTAATCGCGGAAGTGAGTCCTTGTAAGGCAGGGATCTCGGCGTTTGGGTTGTTGACCACCGTTAAACCTCTCGCCACTAACCAGGAGTGAAAGCCACTCGGCGGGCTGTCACCGACGGCGGTCGCCGTAGCTCGTTGCGTAGGTGAGCGTGCTGTGAATAAAGTTAATTGGAGCATGACTTATTAACATGAATGTCTAATTCTCTCAGACTGAGGCATCACTATTTGTGGCACCACATTTCTTTTGGCATCACAATTTGCGGCATCACCAAAGTGGGACATGAGATGATTCCGAAGCTTACACAAAGGTTCGGTAATCATGGCGTCACGGGAGACGAGTCCATTCGGGACCGGCGTTCTATTTGGGGAGTGAATGATGGTCGTTCCAGTTCCTCCCTGCTCGACAGCGTTTTGTGTTGTATTCGCATTTGCTGGAGGTAAGTTCCCTGAATTAGTTGGTGCTGCACTTGCGGCTGATGTATCCGTTGAACCGGAGGATGTTTGGCCAGGGACCGTTAAGGTAACCACTGGTTGAGTCGCCGTATTGCCGTCTTTCCTCGTTGAGTCAGCGACGTTGCGGCGTCCACGTCCTCGTCCTCTACCGCGCTGGATCACAGCGTTAGGGATAGGAACTATCACCTCCGAATCCGGAGGAGGAACTGAGCCTCCGCGCAACCTATTGCTCGTACGTCTCATCATCACGTTAAACGATTTGGTATTGGTCGGTTGGTTGCTTGGGGTTGGAGTTATGGTGTTACCAGTTGATGGGTTACCTTCTGTAGGTGTATTACCTGCAGGTGACATATTTACTGGATAGAGGAAATTTGGATTTCTATAGATCGATTTCCTTGATTTGAATGAGATGTAACATTTTACTTTTGTTAAGCGAAAAAATAAGTATCTATCACAAAAGTGTGATGATGAGAGAGCAATGAGAGGAGTGAAGAGGTGACTCAATACGGGTGTGTGATAATTCTGAGTAGAGAATTTCGACGGGTACGAGGAGATAGGAAAATTTTCTTTGCAGAGATTTCTCTGCAACATTTTCCAATGCGCCTCGAGGGAAACCTACTCCGGTACCAGGATAGCTTTCCCGTTGCCCTACTACCCGATATCACCCCGTATCGTGGAAATGGATGTAACCGTTGTGCATTTGGGCCACATCAGCCACTTAAGGCATGTTTGAGTGGTACATAGATTAAGAGTATGTAGCTCAAGTAGAATGAAGAGATTGTGGTAGGTTTTGAGACGTTAAGACTGATTGATTTTGGTTAGGCATGGAGGGATCACAGAGTAGGCAAAAGTTTTGGCAGGAACAACAGCTCAAAAACATCAAGCCCAAGCCGCGGGAATCAATCTCCTGGTGCACGGAAGTACAGCTACTAAAAAAATTATCGGCAAATTTCCCAGGTTGTGTTGCGGCGGGATTTAACTCAAGACCGGACAAAACCCACGGTATGACCGCGAGATACCTACAAACTTCTGTCAAACTGCCTCTCTGTCAACCCATGACTGACATGTTCTAGAAAGAACATGTCATTCATGGGTTGACATCTTGAACTTGCCCCAAGCCCCAACGACTGTGTACTCCTTTCAATCTCATTCAAAGAGAGCTATAGGCTATCACCCTTCATTTCTCTCAAGGCACCATAATCATCACGGTGTTGCTTCATTATCCTCAGATCCGTACGAACATCAAAGCTTCATTCAGATTCATTCAGTGCTCTTTACCTATCACCGTCCACTTTTCACCCGAGCCACCTTTGACGCACCTTAATCATCACTGTTGCGCTTCAATTTCTTCAGAACCATATTAAAGATTCATTCAGTATCGGAGGTTCAGCCGGTAATATCATTCAGTGCTCCTCTTTCATTCAAACAGACCTCCACTTCTCACCCAAGTCACCCTTGACGCACCTTAATCATCACTATTTGCTTCAATTTCTTCAGAACCCTACATAATAGATTCCTTCAGCAATCTATCGGAAGTTCAGCCGGTAGTACTCACCAGTCAAGACCTCAAGCTCATTTGCAAACAATTGTTTCGATTCTGTCCGGACATTCATATCAAAGAAAATTCCAGCATTTCCATCGCACCTTATGCTGTGACAATCTCACCGTTGGTAGAAGACTTCAAGAAACCAGTTCTTACCTAGGCCTTCTTCGATGTCAAATCAAAGTCTTCAAAATATTGTACCAAACTTCTTTTATAACTTCAATCAGTTCATCTCCAGTACCCTCAAGCTAGCTAAAACGTTTTGATTCAATTTCAAAATATCAATTCTAACTTCAATCAGTTCATCAAGCTAGCAAAGCGTTTTCGATTCTCATTGTTCTGGAAATTTGATTATTAAATCTTCATACAATAGAAACTTCAATCACTTCATCTCAAGCTTTCTCAAGATAGCTAAATTGTGTTGTTTCACAATTATTCAACTCGATTTAGATTACTCTTGGCACCGGAATCAATCTCTTCAAGCCTTCACCACTTCGATTTTAGCGGCCAAAAGCTTGTTTAGCCTGTGGCTACGGATGCCTATAAAAGGCTTGCTACCAGCTCACCTTCAACCTATTCCTCAAGCTACTTGCTGCTTTCAGCAATCGATTTATTCTATCCAAAGTCTTATCTTTTACTCAGTCCACCTTTCCCAAAGCACATAGACTTCACAATCTTAGCCATAGTCAGTATCTCCTCTGGCATCTCTTGCTACACACTTGTTGATATATCGTGCTGTTTTCTCTCTCAGACTGTTGTTGATCTTGCTATAATCGATAGTAAGTTTTTCCTTAGCCTTTATTCCCTAATTTGGTATAGGTTTATTTATCACCATTACATCCACCTCTTTGATTTATTTCCTTAGAAATGTCTCAAGTTTCTCAACATTCAATGACCTCCCAAGGCTCGGTTGCTGGTGGCCAAGATCAATGTAAGTGATCAAATCTTGCTGATTTGGTTATTTAGATTCCGACTGATGTATATATGTAGTGGTTAAGCCAATGCTAGGCAGCTAAGCTGGTGATGACACGCCAGCCCGTCTGGCTTCTCAGCCCGTATACGTGAAGGGAAGCAACAACCGCGCCGCTTTCGACAAGAAGCACGAGGTTGCAATTGCGGTGTTATTTAAGATACACACATCAACCGAAGTCGACGTGGTACCACTAGCTGCTCCGTCCAAGGTCTCTACCCGCAAGTCTTCCAGCGCCGTCAACAAGTTGCAGATTCTTGAATCTAAGTTTTCGATGATGGTGATTTCATCGAGCTCAAAGCGTGTCTTTATGGTCTGACTTTGAATGAGTTTAAGCAACTGTGCGCTGGCATTTGTAACGCTTATGCACCAGGCATGAGTAAAATCATACTGGCCAGTGATTTGGCTCCCTTGGCCACTTGGAAAGGGACCGTTGGTCGTTCAAAGGTAAATATACGTGGCTATGAGACTTGGCAAGAGTATGTGGATTTGCTTGAGGCCTCTAAGAAAAAGAAGGGGACGATTTTAATTGAAACGGAAAATGAGACAGCTAAGGCTAAGAAGTTAGCTCAAGTAAGTTTTTTGCTCATGTTGTATTCTTCTCTCGTGTCCATCATTAATCACTGATTTTAATTCATTACACTTATTTTCAGGTGAGTGCGGCCAAGAGGCTTATTGCTTCAGCTACTGGTCCAGGTCTTGCGAGCGAGGACCTTGCCAAAACTCATGCCCGCTTGGTGGTAAGCCGTCATTTACTCTTTCCCTTCTTTTTCACTTGATTCAAGCTTAGTTTGAAATGTGTGCGTCATCACAGGCCTCCAAAAAGCTGGTCGCTTTGCATGAGGACTGTGCTGTGATTTATCACAAGCATGGCAAGGAAGGGAGTGCTGGAGGTGACGGTGCCATTCTCGTGGCGCCGTGGGATCCGCACTTCCATTATCGATTCACTCTCAGGGCCGCATTCATCTGGGCAAAGGCCAAAGTAAGTGAAAATGTTTCTCTTGATACCTATCTGCAATCTGCAAGATTAATGACATTTCCTTGATCGTTCTGTAGGCTGCAGGGATGGCTACCATTAATATGCCTCCCAACACAGCCGAATACAAGAATGAGATGATTAAATCTTGGGTCTTTCATGAAGACATGAATGTTAACAACCGAGTCTTTCAACGCGGACTCAACCGTTCCGCTCGCAGGTCTGCCGCGCGCTCAAACCGATCATGTCGTGGTCTTTCCAGTCGCAATTCTAACATCCCACCACAAGCTTCCACCTTGACCCTTTCTCAAAAAGAAGTCATCAATCTATGTTCTTCCTCTCCTGACGAGAAGAAACCTTTCTTTGGACCCCTTCCCACTGTTAAACAAGAGTCTCCGCCCGTTCAAACCACTCCTACTCGAACTGGTGGAGTGGCCACCAACCTGGCTTCATCATCTCCACTGCCTAGCTTCAACTTGAGCAACTACAAAAACTTGCCCCCCTTGACACCGCCCATCTTGAGTCCAAAGAAACCCAGCAGGCCTCAATATGGTAGGCCCATTTTTGTTTTCAAGTCTTTCTTTGGTAATGTATGTTCCGTACTAATGCTGAATGCTTCTTTTCATTCTTAGCCACAGGTCGATCAACTGCAGACTCTATCTGGTTTGATGAACCTATCGACAATGATGTCGATACATCCAACACCTCTGATGGCCTTGACGTTATAGGCTCACATGAGGCTGCCCTCGAAAACTTCATCTATCTTGTTGGTGTTCCTCCTGAGGACATCGACACTCGAATGAAACTCGCCAAAGCAGGGGTTGAAGCATGGATGGATCTCATCCCCTCGGTCCATATGACCGAGGCTGCTTTGATTGAGCATGGCATTGACGCGAATGTAGCCGCTCGGCTGCTTGCTGCAGCCCAAGCTCGCGATGATCGAATCAATGGTAAGTTCCACTTTCTCTCTCTATGTTATCTCTTATCTTTCTTAGTATGATCATACTAACATATATCTACATCTCACAGCTCAATTGATCAGCCCCAAACGCAATAAATCTGATGAGCTCTAATTCTCAAATTGCAAGTCTATATTTCTTCGTTTGATCAGGTTCTCTTCCTTATGTTTTTCTAATTCTGATTTTGATTCTAGTCGCTTGTTTAACTTCCTATATTGTTTCTTCCAATTTTACTTCTAGTCACTCCTTTAAGTTCCTATATGCTATCTTCTTTTCCCATAAGAGATATCATGTCTTTTATCTGTTATGTTGCTCGCTAGGTTTGTTCATCCTTTAAGTTCCCATATCCTATCACATTCCATTCCTCTTGGAAGTACGGGCAAGTAAGGTGGGTTAATGATTTGTTCTACTGGGGGAACGTAGATAATCATCCTCATGTAATATCTCCCGATAATGAAATACAGAGCCCTTCAGATATGTCCTTCCACCTAGAATACCTAGCCTCTACTGAGACTCAATACCCTATACGTGGTGTGGGGATGATCCCATAAGTAGTAGCACTCGGGTTTGGGGAGGTTGAGCCCAAACTGAGAGCTACCACCTGTGGGACAAGAACAGACCTGAGAAGGTTCGACTTCTCAACCCGGGAGGTGGGTGGGTTTTTATGAAATTTTCTATGAGGGAAGGAATCCTATAGAAACTTGAACTTGCTGAGGGAGTGCAGGATGTGTCGAGAGAGGAATTGGATTGGAGTGGGAGAAATTTTTCTCCTCCTTCCAATTCTTCCAAATTCCCAG